CCTATGATTGAGCTATAGTTGCAGTGGCTTGTCTCCTCTTTTTACTACAGATTGTGGCAAAAATCCCTGTCGAAACGGATGGTGTGAGGAGACTATGACAAACTTCAGATGCCACTGCTCTGCCGGATATCGAGGGAAACGTTGCGATAAACGTGAGAATATAAACAATCTTAATAATTATCTGACAAGTCGGTTAGACGAATTAAAAACCATCTGTACAACTTATTTTTGCTAGTAACCTGAATTCGAGCAAAAATGATCAAGTTTGTCAAAAGGAACGGAAGCGTGAGTGTACATCATAATCAAACAATTGTCAGACCCCCCCCCCCCATTAATTTCTCTCTGTCCCCTTTTCCCCCTCTTCTTCTCCTCCCCCCCCCCCCCCCCCCCACTTTGCCCTCCATACTATATGTCTGTCTTTCTCTCTCTATCTCTCTCTCTCTTTCTTGTAATTATGTGTTTTCTTGAATCATATTGTAACACCAGTGGAAACCAAATTTCTATGTAACTTGTTCGCAAAGATCAAATAAAATATCTTGTATCTTGTACCTCTGCCTTTCTCTTTCTCTCTCGAATTTGCTTTGATTATCCCCCTTTCCTCATTTTCCTTCTCTCTCTCTCTCTCTCCAACTCTCTCACTCTCTCCTTCTCTCTCTCTCTCTCTCTCTCTCATCCTCTCTCTCTCTTTCTTTCTTTCGTTCTCTTTAACCATGCTCACCCTTTTTGATTACCATTTTCTAAATTTCTTCATTCACCCTCACTCTCTGTCTCTGTCTTTGTCTGTGTCTGTCTCTCTCTTTCTATCTCCGCCTTTTCTTTCTCTCTCGATTTCTATGTTCAGGACGCTCAGGCCTTAATAGCTAGGAAATGAATATAATGTGATGAATTTTGTCCAGTAAGATTTGTTAAATTTGGGTAAATATAAATTCAAATCTATTCTTGCCCTCAGATTGTTTTATCAGGTGTATATTTCGTATTTCTTCTTCAGAATCAACTACAACACAAGACACCACAACGATGTCGCCGACGGAAGCCACCACCTCACATCCTACCACAACGACTCGTAAGAAAACTTTATTTACATTATCTCTCTCTTGGGAATTTAATAGCATGTGATGATTTGTCCAGAAAGATTTGGTAAATTTTGGTCAATATGAATTTAAATTTCATTTGGCCCCAGACTGTGTCATTAGGTGTACATCATATTTCTTCCTCAGAATCAACTACTACACAAGACACCACAGCGATGTCTTCGACGGAAGCCACCACCTCACACCCTACCACAACGACTCGTAAGAAAACTTCATTTACACTACCTCTTCTTCATCCCCCCCCCCCCTCTGTGTGTGTGTGTGTGTGTGTCTCTCTCTCTCTCTCCCTCTCTCTCTCTCTCTCTCTCTCTCTCTCTCTCTCTCTCTCTCTCTCTCTCTCCCCCTCTCTCTCTCCTCTCTCTCTCTCTTTCTCTCTATATCCCTCTCTCACCCTCTCTCTCTCCCTCTCTTTCTTTCGTTCTCTTTAACCATGCTCACCCTTTTTGATTACCATTTTCTAAATTTCTTCAATCATCCTCACTCTCTGCCTCTGTCTCTCTTTCCTTTTCCGTCTTTTCTTTATCTCTCGATTTCTTTGTTTTAAGAATTCTCACTTCCCTTTTCTCTTTTCATATTTCTTTCTCCGTCTCTCCATGCCTCTCTCTTTCGATTTCACGTTCAAGTGTAAAACAACATGCTACAACGTGAAGCAATCTCTCGTTCTCGGCAGCCGCTCAGGCCTCAAATGCTAGGAATTGAATGTAATGTGATGATTTGTTAAATTTGGGTTAATATTAATTCAAATCTATTCTTGTCCTCACATATTGCTCCGATTGTCTCATTTTCGCTCGCTCGATCACTGCAGCACAAACATAGCTCGTTCGACGTCACTACCAAAGTAGCCAATCAGCTGTCAATGATGTCATATTGAATGCGGCGGCAAATATATTTTGTGAAATTATCGAGAAATCGACTATTTCTAATTGCAAACTAGTTTTATTTTTGGATGGAAAAGCAGCCATAGTTATCTTGACATTCATTGAAGTAATCAGAATAGGGTAACTTTCTTCTCAGATGATTCAAGAGGTCCATTTTGTAGATAATTTTTTAATTTCTTAGAATGTTCCACTGTGTTGCAGGGTACCGGGTGTATGCCATTGGGTGTGATGTGTTCGCGCGCTATAAGTACAGGCCACCGCGCCGTCGGGTGTATTCTCGTACTGATGTAGGTGCAAAGCTAGAATGGCTACCACGCCCACTTCCCTTTCTATGCCTTTCTGAACATTCCTTTTCTTCTCAATACAATAACTTTCACATGCCTAAGTTATTCAAACCATACCGCCTCGCTACTTCCATTACGTAATCATTAAAAGGATCCGCATATACAACATTTACCTGCTATACGTTGTACTGCAGGAAAATACCAATCTCCCTGGTATAAGGCCCGGTCACACAGAGGGGACGCATGGGGAACGCACGGCCAGCGCATTGGAAATGTGCAATTTTGGCCAGTGCGTTGTCGTGCGCCCAACTTTTGTCGAAGCTACAGCTAACTGACACCAAATGCATAGCGTGTTGCTAGCGCGCTGGACGCATACAGGGCGCACACAGGGCGCACACAGGGCGCACACAGGGCGCACATGATAACAACTTCCACGAATGCACAGCGTGTTGCTAGCGCGCTGGACGAATGGTCCACGCATGCACCGCGTTCTACGACGCACGGCCAGCGCATTGGAAATCGGAAAAGAACGTGTGCCTAACTTTTGTCATAATTTTGGAAAAGCTAGCGAGCTGACACAAAATGCACGGCGTGTAGCTAGCGCGCTGTGCGTATACAGGGCGTGTGCTCCACGCATGTCTGGCGCTGGTCTAGCGCGCTCCACGCATGTCTGGCGTGCCTTTGGCGTGTATATTCATGCGTCGAGCTCGGCGCACGTTTTTGAGCATGCTCAAAAAATCCCGACGCACACAGCGAATGACGACGCATGCATAGCGCTGGTCCAGCGTTGGTCCAGCGCGCTCGACGAACGAGTAACGAATGATGACGCACGCCTAGCGAACGACAACGCACTGGCCCAAATTGCAAATTTCCAATGCGCTGGCCGTGCGTTCCCCATGCGTCCTCCCTGTGTGACCGGGCCTTTACAGTCCAAACGATAAATATGTGCCTTTAACGAAGCAGGCGACAATCGGCGTAGCAGACGACACTTGATAGTAATTTTGTATGTGAGATTGCTTTGCTAAATATAAATTACTTTGTTAATGAATATCAACTAAAATTTCTTTTACATTTCTTTAAACCATCATTGATATTTAATTATTCATGAGTGAGTAAAAGAAACATACCAAACTATATAATTATATGAAATACTTTGTGGCAATTAGGGGAGTTTGACGTGATGACCGATTGCACCCCTCTGTTAATAACCGAATAGTCCATGGTGTGTCATGAATATTCATGTTTTTGCTTACCTCGGCTAAATGTTTGCTTTCACTAAATTGAAAAATTACGGTGGGGGGTTGGATGAAATGTACATAATGAAATAGGCAGAAGTGATCTATGATAATTCATGCTTTTTATGTTTCGTGTGCTCGACCTATAATCTTCAAATCGCTTGGCAAACTGAGTCTAAAGTTAGACTTGTTTCACATGTGTATTATAGGCAATGACGAGCTTGCAACCTATTTTGAAAAATTACGGTGGGTGAACTTTCAAAAGTCAATGAGACATGAGGGCTCCAATGAAAGAGCTAGTGATAACGTACGTCGGGGTGGATGTGCTTTTCGTTAAAACAAAAAATGAATTTTTAACGATTTAAAAAAAAAAAAAAAAACGTCCATAGGCTAACATGTTAGGCTGCTGACTCTGACCATGCTCTGACGATAGGGAAGGTTGTGAAATGAGACTAAACGGAGCAATATGGATTGTTTTATCAGGTGTATATATCGTATTTCTTCTTCAGAATCAACTACTACACAAGACACCACAACGATGTCTACGACGGAAGCCACACATCCTACCACTACTACTCGTAAGAAAACGACATTTTAATACACACACTCTCTCTCTCTCTCTCTATATATATATATATTGCTCTTCTTTCCTCTTTTCTCTCTCTCCCTCTCTCTCTCTCTCACCATGCTCACTTTTTCGGTTTAAAATCTTTCCATTTTTTTCAATTAACCCTCACTCTCCGTTTGTCTCTTTCTCTCTCTCTGCCTCTTTTTTCTCTCTCGATTTCTACTTTATATGATTTCTCACTTCCCTTCTCTCTCTCCAATGTTCCGTCTATCCATGCTTCTCTCTTTCGCTTTCACGTTCACGTGTATACAATATATGCTACAACGTGAAGCAACTTTTTGTTCTCGGCAGCCGCTCAGGCGTCAAAAGCTAGGAATTGAATATCATGTGACGATTAATTTTGTCTATTTGGTCAATATGAATTTAAATTTTGATTTGCGCCCAGATTGTGTCATCAGGTGTATATCATATTTCTTCCTCAGAATCAACTACTACACCAGACACCACAACGATGTCTGCGACGGGAACCACCACCTCACACCCTACCACAACGACTCGTAAGAAAACTTCATTTTATACACCACATCTCCCCCCCCTCTCTCTCTCTCTCTCTCTCTCTCTCTTTCTTTCTCTCTTTCTCTCTCTCTCTCTCTCTCTCTCTCGCTTTCTTTCGTTCTCTTTTATGCCTGAGTCACATATAAACTGGGCCCCGTGCGATTTTCCCTACCCGGCGGCTTGCCGTGGATTTAGAGGCCGTACGGGAACCTTCCGATTTCCATTTCTACGGCATGTGTGGTCACATATTCTGCGGCGCCCGGGAGGTGACCGGTGAAAATTGGTCGAGTGAAATGCAGGGCGCCCGTAAGGGTGCCGGCAGGGTGCCGGCCGGGTGCCGGCCGTTAAGCTTACGGGCTCCGTCCGATGAGCAGGGACACCCAGGCCTCCCGGAAGGTGCCCTGCCGGGGCCCGGCCGGGTGCCGTGCGGTGCACTGAACTATGTGTCCTCTGACATCTGCACCTTCTGTATTTAAATCTCTCTCTCTATCTATTATAAATGTATTCATTCACCCTCACTCTTGTCTCTGTCTCTCTTTCTTTCACCGTCTTTTCATCTCTCTCGATTTCTAAATTATATGAATTCTCACTTCCCTTACTCTTTTCAAATTTCTTTCTCCGTCTCTCCATGCCTCTCTCTTTCACTTTCACGTTCAAGTGCGAACAATATGCTACAACGTGAAGCAACCTCTTGTTCTCGGCAGCCGCTCAGGCGTCAAATGCTAGGAATTAACTAGCATGTGATGATTTGTCCAGTAAGCTTTGTTAAATGTTGGTAAATATAAATTTTTAATTTCATTTGGCCCCAGATTGTGTCATCAGGTGTATATCATATTTCTTCCTCAGAATCAACTACTACACAAGACACCACAACGATGTCTTCGACGGGAGCCACCACCTCACACCCTACCACAACGACTCGTAAGAAAGTTTCATTTACACCACCTCTCCCTCCCCTCTCTCTGTCTGTCTGTCTCTCTCTCTCTCTCTCTCTCCTATCTCTCTTCCTCTCTTTCGTTCGTTCTCTTTAACCATGCTCACCCTTTTTGATTACCATTTTCTAAATTTCTTCAATCATCCTCACTCTCTGCCTCTGTCTCTCTTTCCTTTTCCGTCTTTTCTTTATCTCTCGATTTCTGTGTTTTAAGAATTCTCACTTCCCTTTTCTCTTTTCATATTTCTTTCTCCGTCTCTCCATGCCTCTCTCTTTCACTTTCACGTTCAAGTGCGAACAATATGCTACAACGTGAAGCAACCTCTTGTTCTCGGCAGCCGCTCAGGTCTCAATAGCTAGTAATTGAATATAATGTGAAGATTTGTTAGATTTGGGTTAATATGAATTCAAATCTATTCTTGCCCTCAGATTGTTTTATCAGGTGTTTATATCTTATTTCTTCCTCAGAATCAACTACAACACAAGACACCATAACGATGTCTACGACGGAATCCACCACCTCACACCCTACCACTACTACTCGTAAGAAAACTTCATTTACATTATCTCTCTCTTTAGGAATTTAATAGCATGTGATGATATTTGTCCAGAAAGATTTGGTAAATTTTTGGCAATACAACTTTAAATTTCATTTGGCCCCAGATTGTGTCATTAGGTGTATATCATATTTCTTCCTCAGAATCAACTACTACACAAGACACCAGAGCGATGTCTACGACGGAAGCTACCACCTCACACCCTACCACAACGACTCGTAAGAAAACTTCATTTACACCACCTCTCCATCTCTCTGTCTCACTTCTCTCTCTCTCTCTCTCTCTCTCTCTCTCTCTATCTCTCCCTCTCTCTCATCTCTCTCCCTCCCTCTCTCTCTCTCTGTCTCCTCTCTCCCCTCTCTCTCTCTCTCTCTATCTCTCCCTCTCTCTCTCTCTCTCTCTTTCTCTTTCTCTAGCTCTCTGTCACCCTCTCTCCCTCTTTCTTTCGTTCTCTCCAACCACGCTAACCATTTTTTATGCCTCGCTTCAAAGTAGCCGGGGGCATTATGTTTTCTGGTTGTCCGTCCGTCCGTCCATCTGTAGGTCCCGTTCTCGTGACCGGGTTATCTGAAGAACCTATTGATGAATTCCCGCCAAACTTGGGTCATGTATGTATCTTGCAGAGCCAATGAAGTGATTAGATTTTGAGGTCACAAAGTCAAAGGTCACATGGCTCATTATATATGCAAAAATAGCTCGTGATTACAATATCATTAGAACCGATTGACGGATTACCATCAAACTCAAGAAATGTATCTATTTTGCAGAGCCAATGAACTGATTAGATTTTGAGGTCACAAGGTCAAAGGTCACAGAGCTCGTTATGTATGCAAAAATAGCTCGTGCTTACATTTATCATTAGAACCGATTGACGGATAGTTCTAAGGTCATGGGGCTCATTATGTATGCAAAAATAGCTTGTGAACATATCAATATAACCGACGGACGGATTACTTTCAAACTCAAGGCGTGTAAGTATCTTGCAGAGCCAATGAACTGATTAGATTTGAGGGTCATGAGTTAAAAGATCAAAGAGTCATACATGTATATGAAAAATAGCCTGTAATCACGATATTCTGAGAACCTGTTAATGGATTGCAATCAAACTTGAATTGGAAAAATTGCTTCTGTTTTGGTTTGTAAAATCGCTCCATGGCAGAGGCATCATTTTTGACTGCGCGTAGTCGAAGATCCATCTAGTTATTACCATTTTCTAAATTTCTTCATTCACCCTCACTCTCTGTCTCTCTCTCTGTCTCTCTTTCTATCTCCGTCTTTTCTTTCTCTCTCGATTTCTATGTTGTATGAATTCTCACTTCCCTTTCTCTCTTCAAATTTCTTTCGCCGTCTCTCCATGCTTCTCTCTTTCGCTTCCATGTTCACGTGGAATGGAAGCGAAAGAGAGAAGCATGGAGAGACGGCGAAAGAAATTTGAAGAGAGAAAGGGAAGTTAGAATTCATACAACATAGAAATCGAGAGAGAAAGAAAAGACGGAGATAGAAAGAGAGACAGAGAGAGTGAGAGAGAGAGAGAGACAGAGAGTGAGGGTGAATGAAGAAATTTAGAATATGGTAATAACTAGATGGATCTTCGACTGCGCGCAGTCAAAAATGATGCCTCAGCCATGGAGCGATTTTACAAACCAAAACAGAAGCAATTTTTCAAATTCAAGTTTGATTGTAATCCATTAACAGGTTCTCAGAATATCGTGATTACAGGCTATTTTTCATATACATGTATGACTCTTTGATCTTTTACCTCATGACCCTCAAATCTAATCAGTTCATTGGCTCTGCAAGATACATACACGCCTTGAGTTTGAAAGTAATCCGTCCGTCGGTTATATTGATATGTTCACAAGCTATTATTGCATACATAATGAGCCCCATGACTTTAGAACTATCCGTCAATCGGTTCTAATGATAAATGTAATCACGAGCTATTTTTGCATCCATAACGAGCTCTGTGACCTTTGACCTTGTGACCTCAAAATCTAATCAGTTCATTGGCTCTGCAAAATAGATACATTTCTTGAGTTTGATGGTAATCCGTCAATCGGTTCTAATGATATTGTAATCACGAGCTATTTTTGCATATATAATGAGCCATGTGACCTTTGACTTTGTGACCTCAAAATCTAATCAGTTCATTGGCTCTGCAAGATACATACATGACCCAAGTTTGGCGGGAATCCATCAATAGGTTCTTCAGATAACCCGGTCACCAGAACGGGACGTACAGATGGACGGACGGACGGACAACCCGAAAACATAATGCCCCCGGCTACTTTGTAGCGAGGCATAAAAAATGGTGATCGTGGTTGGAGAGAACGAAAGAAAGAGGGAGAGAGGGTGACAGAGAGCTAGAGAAAGAGAAAGAGAGAGAGAGAGAGAGAGGGAGAGAGAGAGAGAGAGAGAGAGGGTAGAGGGAGGGAGAAAAGAGCGAGATTGGGAGAGTGATAGTTTAAATTAAGTTTTCTTATGGGTGATAGGGCGTAAGGTGGTTGACTCTATCATTGAGAGAATGAGGGGAACAACTAATAATTATGAGCCGGTCTTGTTCAGCAAATAGCACAATGTGATACAAAGTTTCTATTCGCTTCCAAATAATGTAATCTAGTTTCAGACCTATAATTGATTCCTTAAGCGAGAAATTTTCCGGTCCAAAATACTTTGAGGTAATGACTAGAAAGCGATGGAAAGAAGATGGAGCAATAAGTAATTTTGAAAAAAGAAAATGAGAGAATATTGGTGGGTAACTGATCAAGTTCCTTGGCAAAAATTTACAATGACATAAATGATAAAGAACATAAACTAATAACCAGAGGAGTTTACCAACAAAATACCTATTTTGCTTAATATTGTTTAAGTTTGTAATGATAAAATAAATACCGTGATAATACCATTTTGATTATGCATTTTTGATGCTATATCACATAGGCCTATATTGTGATACTGATACTACTACTACAACTACTGCTGCTACATCTTTGTTTGGGTTCATATGAGATATTTTTCAGGCTGCAATTTCAACTTTACTTAAGCTAACATTAATGGCATAAGCTTACCAAACAATGAGGAGACACACTTGACGAGAGTTAAACTGTGCCGTTTCAACTAAGGTTCATGGAGAAGAAAACTCTTGAGCATTTTACCATAACTTTGTTCAACCGGCCCAGTAGATTGACGCTCCAAAATAGATCCCTCACAATGATTGTATGGTTTGTAAAATGGAAATGGTTCTGAGCATGTACTCGAAACTATTCACGTTTTAATGCGTTTCCTGGACGAGAAGAAAGATATAATTTAACCAATTTTATTGTACTAAGTATAGTGTCTTTTATAGTCATTATATGCGAAGCGAAACTCGAAACATCCACTTGGGTTTTATTGGTGCCTCCGTCCAGTAGCCATTAGCATTAGGAACGCCCAGAAAATAATATCAACAGGAAAGATGTTGATATTTGATCTTACGAGCATACATTTAATTTCTCTCAGTTACTTTACTATTCACATTAAAACAATAATTATGCACGTAATTGGTATAGAGTTTCACGGGTAATATTGTCTAAAGTGGGAGCACTGGGGTATATTGATGAAGGATCTTGACTCTCATAAGATAGATGTTAGGTTCGATCCTTGTTTGGTGCTTACATTCTTAGTTAATGTGTTTTGCCCAAGCAGATATGTCCCTCTTGACCCAGGTATATCAAATGGGTTTCTGTGGCCCCCAGTAAGAGCAGTATTAATACAGATGTGGCTACCCTGTACAAATAAGACCAAAGTATCCATTATCTATTATACAGAGCGCAAGAAGACAGTAGTGAGCTTGTGTTGTGTACAGGAATGAATGATTTACGGAATAAGACCAACTAGTGAAAATGAGAGGGAGAGAGAGAGAGAGAGAGGGGGAATGACAGACAGAGAGAGAGAGAGAGATGAAGAGAGAGGGAGAGGGGAGAGAGATAAAGATAACATGCTAACTTGTAGTTGTAGTGGGATTATGTGTGGTCGAGTCCGACATAGGATTGGTTGTTGCTTTACGAGAAGTAGTGGATGCTGAAAACGAATTTAAAGTACAAGTCCACTCCAAAAATAACTTACTTTCAATAGAAGCAGAAAAATCAGAAAAACCAATCAAAATTAATAAGAAAGTTTTTGAAAAAGTATGTAAAACTATGTAACAAGTGAAATCACTACACAAATTTGCCAATTTGGTTATCTGTTTGTGACGTCAAATCTTCACTATATATCAATTGCTTGATATAGTTTAATCCCATTAATTTCCAATTTTCTCACTAAGAATCTTATTTCTTCACACCAGCATCCAAGTTAGATTGATCGTAATATGTTTTTGTGTGGATGCACTAATATAGAGTTTTTGTTTTTAGTTAAATTATGAAAATGTGAATTTTGATAAACTGTTTATTTAAAAATTAATAATTATGAATATACAATATTCAGAAAATAGTATCAATTCTTCAAAGTTCATAAAAGATTTTATGCAATTCCATGTACGCAATATGATACAAATCATGTAACCTGGGCTAAGACATTGGGATATCAAGTTTTGGGGGATAAAAAGAGAAATTAATGGGATTAAACTATATAAAGCAATTGTTAAATAGTGAGGACATGACGTCATAAACTGATTATCATAATCATTATGGCAATTTGCGTTGTGATTCTCATTATTCCATAGTTTTACTTACTTTTTCAAAAATTCAAAACTATCTTATTAGTTATCCGATTTTGCTCAAACTTTGTTTCATTAGTTTGTCTGATTTTTCTGCTTCTATCGAAAGTAAATTATTTTTGGAGTGGACTTGCCTTTTAAGTTTAACGTAGACGTTTGATTTCGAGCGATACAAAAATGCATTTTTAAATTTCTACTCGTGAACATTAGGTTTAAGAGAGAAACAGAAAAATGTAACACATACATTGGGCAAGAAATGGGAACAGGAAGGTAAAGAGAGAGAGAGAGAGAGAGAGAGAGAGAGGAGGGGAGAGAGAGAGAAGAGAGGGAGAGAGAAAAGAGCCAGAGTGGGAGAGGGATAGTTTAAATGAACCTTTCTTATGGGTGATAGGACGTGAGGTGGTTGACTCCATCATTGAGAGGAAAAAATAATAATGATGTGCCATTCTTGTACAGCAAATAGCACAATGTGATACAAAGTTTTTATTTGCTTCCAAATAATGTAGTCTAGTTTCAGACCTATAATTGATTCCTTAACCGAGAAGTTTTCCGATTCAAATACTTTGAGGTAATGACTAGAAAGCAATGGAAAGAAGATGAAGCAATAAGTAATTGTGAAAAAAGAAAATGAAAGAATAATGGTGGGTAACTGATCAAGTTCCTTGGCAAAAACTTACAATGACATGATGATAAAGAACATAAAATAATAACCAGAGGAGTTAACCCACATAAATACATATTTTGCTTAGTATTGTTTAGGTTTGTAATGATAAAATAAATACCATGATAATAACATTTTGATTATGCAATTTTGATGCTATATCATATAGGCCTATATTGTGAAAATATGTTTTGGATTTGTGTTAATAATCCGTGTAAACACTGGAAAAAAGCTACCGGCAATTTCATATCGTACTTCATGTGAGAATCATTCTTCTTCTTTTACATTGTTCCACAATGTCGGTTTGGAAAATTAGATTAGAAACGGTAAAATGGAGTATGATATTTTCACGTGACTTGGTTATGAAATATCGCATTTTCATGTTTTTGTCTACATTCTTCTTTTATCTGAGGTAATTTACATGCTTATTTGGGATTTGATTATAAATCCTAGCATCTCAGAAAATTGATTCATGAACGAATTGGTCAGATTTAATTTTCATGGATTTTTTTTTTCATTTTCTCTTTTACGAGTCTAAAATTCTTTTTGCCCAATTGATCGTGAGCCCGGCAGCCACTGAGCGGCGCCATATCGACGTTGCTCTATCCCGTATTGTTGAACGCCAAACAAGGTAGCAGCAACTCCCGTCTTTTAACGTCTTTTGGTATGACTGCCGTGTGTGTGCGGTTTGTGAAGGGTGTGTGTATGTGGAGAAAAGTTATATGTTCCTGATATGTAACCAGAAAAAGAGTAGCTTCACCATGCCTCCGTAAGTTTATCCTGGTGTCTTTACATACCCCTTCACGCACCTGATTTATATGTTCCCACACTTAACTCCATCACTTCTCTACAAAGATATAACCCAAAGAGAGGAGAAGAACTTTGAGAAAGTGAGGCAGAGGCGGCGCTCGGGGGGGGGGGGGGCACAGTGTCCCCAACTTTTCAAGTATCCCAAAAGTGCCCCTTTTTACATAAAAGAATTGCCCGTTTATCTTTGCAAAAGTGCCCCTTTTACTTTGACAAGTGCCCTATTACTTAGTAAAAGTGCCCCTTCCCCTTTTCGACTCTGATAAGTGCCCCTTTTTTGACACGTGCCCCTTATCCTTCGACAAGTTCCCTTTTCCTTAGCAATAAGTGTCCATTTTCCATTCTCATAAGCGCCCTTTTTAATCTCTAGCAAGTGCCCCTTTTCAGGTACGAGAAGTGCCCCCTTTCACCTCTGATAATTGCCCCATTCAAATCTGAGATGTGCCCTTTTTACTTTGACAAGTGCCCCTTTTCCTTTTTAAAAAGTGCCTTTGCCCCTTTTAATAACTACCCGTTTGACTTGAACTCAGGTAAGCGCTCCTTTTATTTTCACTTTCATTTATTATAAGTGCCCCTTTTTCATTCTCATAAGTGCCTCTTTTCATATCTGGTCAGTGCCCCTTTTCACCTCTGATAAATGCCCCCAATATTGATTCGGATCAATCGCAACTCTTTATAGTAGTAGTAGCTCTGTGCAGAGCTAATTTATTTCATTTACCACATTATACAAACAATGACATAGCAAAAAAGTAGCACTGAAATATCTTTGACATTTTTTTGTATAGTCTTAATGGAAAAAAAAACGAGCCTACTTGGAAGAACCTTCTCGGAAGCAATGCTTGTTGGGTGAAATACATTTGAAAGATTACCGAGTCAAAAAAAGATGACGGAGTAAAAAAAAAAACATATAAGAAAAGTTGCAGGCTGACAAGATGAATATGGTAGATGAAGGAAATAAGGGTGAGAGAGTGACAAACAGGGAAAGCGGGAAAACAGCAGAAAGAGACGAAGGAGAAGAGAGAAAGGGTGCATGGCCATGAGGAATCATTTTTGAGTAGTATGATATGGAAACAAATCATACACGAGTCATGATGTGAACAAATGGCCAGTTCGGCCAAATACGAAAAACTGGGTAGATATTCTAATACGTCTGAAATAAAAAAAAAAAGTGCTAAGGGCACTTTTGAATCCACTTAATGAGGGCTTTTCTTGCAATGTGCCGGAAAGGGCACTCCAATATTTTGGGGTAGTGAAAGTAAAGATTCTGCTGAAAAATACCGTTCTCGATTTTGGTAGGTGATACGAGCTTGCCAATCTCGTGGGATAACTATGTTATTCAGTATTTTTGTTAAACATATTTGAGAGAACTTGATGCAATTCATTTTTCTGAAGTGTGTACATAAAATTCCTTATGTTCAACACATTACTTGCGTGAAAGAGTTCATGAGTATGAGCGCGGAAATTGGTGTGATATATTATGATTCCCAGTGCTTTCTGATTGGTTGTCCTAAGGGGTAGTTGTCCCAGGGGGTAGTCGTCCTAGAGGGTGATTGTCCCAGGGGGTAGTCGTCCTAGAGGGTGATTGCCCTAGGGAGTAGTTGACTGGGGGTGGTTATCCGGGGTGGATGTCCAGGGGGTAGGTGTCCTAGAACCGGGTATTATCAATAACTTCGTTATTAACTTTAAAATGAAGAGATAGATTGCTCGAAAACGCTCTTCAAAGATTATAATATTTTGTGAATCAGTAACATGGGGCCCGGACGTGGGGACATCATTTGTTATAAGAGGTGCATCAAACGATTATCGAAACACGCTTTTTGATGATCCGATCTGCGTCCTTGATGTAGCGTACAGCAGAGAAGAAAAAGGAATGGAGATAGGAGTGAAAGATAGAAGACATACGGGAAAAGAGACAGAGGGAGTATGTACGTGTGTCTGTTTCACTTTGAAATACAATTTGTTTGATGTTTCCACTCTAAAGGAGCCAGTGATCCCCTCCCGCCCTGGTCAATCTGCCCCCTCAAATTATGATCAGAGTGTTTCAACTGGAGTGCCGCGAGAGTATTTTAGTTATATAAAAAAATGTATTTTAAAATAACGTCAACTTCAAACACTGCAAGATGCCCAAACATACCTGTGCCCAAGCATAATATAAACGGATCCCGCTGGGCATTCCTGTGAAGAAATATATTTTAGAGATAGTAAAGTGTATTTTTTTCTCGGTCGCGTCGCTCTCCTGCAAAATGTAGAAACGGGATAGGTCCATAAACATCCCCATATGATGACATGATGATATTCGGGCAGCATGGCGTCCGAATATATCCTTATTTATTGTAGTTTTATATCGAAATGAAATTTATACCACAACAAAGTGTATTTTTTGCCCTCGTTCGCTTCACAAAATTAATACATCAGGATGATTCCTAGCAACAAGATGATCGAATATATAATCTTGTATTTTATCTAGTGTATATTGATGATTAAATGACATTTTTGCCAAAATGATGAAAGTGCTACAATTTTCCCACTTTCATTTTTTCTGAAGGTTCATAATTCTGAAACACAAATTTCCCCACAAAAAAGATGATACAAGGTTCTATCTCATTTTCGGAATTATTCACGTTCGTAGTAAGGAACCTCCGGATTGATAAACCTTCGGTAAATCGATATGAAACCGTGTTTACTATGCCACGTGAATTTTGGAATGATCACATGAATGCCAATTGCAAGAGTCTATTCTCGACGCTACTTTTTACGGCTCAGAGAAAACATCTGCCGTAACGAAGTCCTGAATCCGTCATTGATCACGGAGTAGACGAAGGCGTTGACGATGTGGTTGGTGAGCCGCAGTGCAGTCAGGACTTCGAAGATTGTATCAAGAACTCGATTTCGATCGATCGCGATGAGGACGTTCTTAGAGAGGACGCTGTAAACGATCTGGGGCATCCAAGTGGCGAAGAAGTAGACGGTGATGACGAGCAACATCCGCGTCGTCTTCCGACCCATATCGGACTCTTTTGATTTCGACGCACGTGCACGATTCGGAAGTTGACGACGGCAAAGGCGGCTGAGAAACGAAGGTCGTGAAAATTGTTTCCTGGGTTGACTTGGGTATGGCGGTGATTGGGCGTTGCCATGTGTGACAATGACAGCTTGGCAAGAACCATCGGGGTCCAGGTGTGTCCTCTGTCGATAAAATGATAGGTATAAAGATTTTATTGCATAGAATTTTCCTTTTAGACACAATTAGATCGAGGAAGGAAGATGGTTTGACCATGGAACCTACTACAGATAGACTAATAATGAGAGTCTTTCTTTGATCACATCATGACCGCCGTCACCGGTATGTTGATGAGGACATTCATTTGACGCGACAATGTTGATTATGTAATCACGCATCATCACAGTCAAAAGAACTTTTTACATTTCTTCAGATTCTTTTCGCTGGGCCAAGGCCGAGAGTGTAGTTTCAGGAAAAGTATCGTGATTTAAGACCAGTTAGAGGAGCAGTGAACCCCAATGTATGACAATTTGTGTGATATCAAATTGATTGTTAAATAAGTGGACACTGGTGGACATACATCTGGACTTGCCTAACTTTGAAAAATACATATTCTTGTATAATATTACCTTCCATTCCTTGGAAATGGATAGGATAAGTTTTAAAATGAAGTGTAAAATCCGGGGTAAAATCATTGTGTAACAGCCAAATTTACACGTTTCTCTCGTAAACTACTTCTAATTTCCTATTGAAAACTTAATATACGTCAATATTCATATTATGTACGCCACAACTGCACATGCATTTCCGTGATTTAAAGCGATCCAGTTTCTTTTGCGCAGGTATTTTATAGATTCTTCAAGGCACAATTTTGGTCTTTTATGGCCGACTGGCGGCGGTCGTGATGACATCAAAGCTTGAAAGCATGTAAGCAATGTCATAATGATTCTTTTGACAGAGTCAGGTGCATGAATATATTATGGTACCGATCAGTGTTCATTTGTAGTAGGTCCATAGTTTGATTAATATATTATAGCGGTCGTCATATTTTGTATGCTACTAATTACGAAATTCTGCATAATTACAAATCTGAATTTTCTTTCCGCATAATCACAACTCTAGCTATTTCAGAACAACGTAAATTCATATGTATTTCCAAACTCGGGGATTTAAAAAGAAGTCTGTAAGAGTAATTCAATGTCATGAAACATGTTTTTCTAGATCATCTGTCTTACCTCTTATATTATACAATTTGTTTCTAGTTCAAGCCTGTACAACAAACCAAGACAATAATAGCAAGTGTTCTGGTGATGGCACGTAACCAATTAGGCCTACATCATCTTACCTTGGACATCGGATCGGACCTCGACAGCCTCGTCGATCCAGCAGAATATGGCAGGAAGTTGGCTGTCGGTGAAAGGTTGTCCGTTTTTATCGATGTTATATCCGTTGATATGTTCTCTACGAAGAGGCTATTATCAATATGCATTTTGAAGTTGGAGGTTAGAGAATCAGCAGTCACCAAGCTCTTCACAACCTTGCTAGGTTGGATGGTGGCGATGGGGACTGTATTGCCTACGAGCTTGTCGTGAATCTTAGCTCTCTTTTGGAGGAAAGCGTATATGATCATGTACATGATCGAGCTCGTAATCAACGACAAGGCGAATATGAGCACAAAGGCTACTGACATCATCAAGGTCGCCATGTACGATATCATTTGGGTGCATTTATCGCCTCTCAATTCCGAACGCGCGACCTCGAATACCGTTCCGGGTATGTTGATGGCGACGCCGACGCCCACGACGACCATCGATGCCAAAATCGACGACCTCTTCGTGAGGCGACCGTGACGTCGTAGGGGACGGCATACCGCCAGGTAGCGGTCGACGCTGATGACGGTTGTGAAGAATAGTGACATGAATGCACCCGATGTCTCGGCGAGGTAGGCGAAGCGGCAAAGACCGGTCGTTACCAACGAATAGAAGCAGCTGCGGATGATGAGGGCGGGGGTGAAGACGCAGGCGAGGAAATCGACGATACCCTGGCCGATGATCAACACATCTGTGCTCGTCTTTCGTTTCTTCCTGCCGTATATGAGGAGGATGATGACATTGCCAGGAATCCCGATCACCAAGACGAGAGCGTAATAAGTCAGGATAATAGCGACATTGTTGTTGATGCCATCGTCGTCGTCTTGCCCTTCCCGATCATCATCCAAAACTGTAACGTTCATCCTGGGGAACATATTCTGCCGGTGCATGTCACTTTGAGATAAGCGAACACGAAGCAACAATTTCACAGCATAATGCAAATAGTAGGTGACTTTAGTTTTCCAAATTAAATCAAAGGATGTAATCAAATCGCGATAAGATCAAAGCTCATAATAGTGGATGTCAGAAAGAACATTATATTTGACATGTTCTTAGGAGGAGCAAGTATCACTCAAAAGTTTCCTTCGCAAGTTACTGCTGTAAAATATATCAACAGTCTCATTTGACTGAGGGTGTCAACGTAGGATGAAGTCGAAAATCTTACATCGACTCGAATGACATTTAATTCTGGGGGAGAATCACAACTGACAGCTGAAAATCGAAGCTATAAATACCTTTCAAATTAATTTCCAGAGATGAGAGAGAGACGCTTAGTATTGGGAGTACATGCTCACCATGGCCCTGCACGTATCCTGGGAACATCAAGTTCCTTTATGAGACAGCTTTTGCATCAGTGCTTTGAGATGGCAACGATGGTCGATTTCTCTTTCGACGTCGCTGAACTCGTCAATAGTCGTGTTTTAATTACAGATGCCATTCAAGTGATAACAACAAGTCGAAACCGTGCGAGATGACCTTATAGTTGAGTACTTTGGCTTGTCCGCTCCATGAGCCTGATTGCATTTTGAGGGCGAAAATTGATCAATTAGGAACTTATGGGTCACCTTCGAAGCATGTTAGCTTTCCACTTGTTTAATTATGTACCTGTTTACCATGGATTATGGATATAATTTGCAATGCATGGCGTAGATAGAGATCGAACAGCCATAGGTAGGGGTACTTCCATCATTCATATGGAAACGTTTGCTTGTATTTGTCTCATAAAAGAATATGAGCACGAACTGACTCCCACACGGTGTTGAGTGCTCAGGGGTCACAGGCCAATGGCTTCATCGGGCAGGTAGTTCCATTATGTGAATGGGTAAATTAACTATTACAAAATGAGGGGACACATTACATTGTACAATAGGGACACACATTGTTTTTATTGTGCAGAACATACTCTTTTATTGACTTACTTATTGCATGAAACTATATAACCAAAATGCATTTTGTATTCTAACAATTGGAGTACAAAGAATAATAACAGGTGAATGAAATGCATAAACACCACAAACACCTGGGGAGGAAGCATTCATAAATTTGAATACATATATATGATAAACGACTCCGATGAAACTATAAAACCAAAATGAAATTTGCGTTCTGGCAATTGGAGTACAAAGAATGATAGCAGGTGAATGAAATGCTTCAACAGCAACACAAACACCTGGGAAGCTAGGAATCATCCATAAATTTGAATAATTTAGTTGATAAACGACTCCGCATGTGGACGTTTGTTGGAGCAGAAAGCAGTGGATTCTTAACAACACGAACCCATTTAACATAATGTCGGAACGTAAATTAAATTTGGCGCGGTTGGAAAATGCATCTTTCTACCCTGCAACTTTAATGGTACGATCCAGTAAATTAAAACAATAAAATGGCTCTTATTTTAAAATTACTCATTAAATGAAACCCAAAACTTCAGTGATATCAGAAAAAATATGTTATATCTTACTAATAATTAAAAAAGATGTATAAACATTGTGAAAGTGTCGCATTTTACGATAAAAGACACCGATTTAGCAAAGATCACGTCATTAGTGCGCTTGCATCAGGGAATTCAAGGTCAAAAGGTCAATTCAGACGCTGATGAGTTGTTGGTCGAGCATTTTTGTTTCCTTTATTCCGACAAAATTATACAATCAATCAAAATAAGTTTGATACCAGAAGAAAGCTAACGATTAGTATTTTCATTAACCGCTTGCCCCAAAGTCTTTTGACCACAGTGAAACGAGTGAGAGCTTGCGAGATCGGCCAAAGTGTAATTGAAACTCGCTATTTGCTCTTCTCCAACGCAAAAAGAGACGACATTGTGCTGGATAAATGTGTTTTTTCCGACAAAAGTACAGAAAATTTGCATATGGTCTTTTTATATTATACTTTATGAAATGTTACCCGAGTGACTTCCGGGCGCCCCAATGCTGGAAAGAAAAGCACATTTTAGAAAACTTCACTTTTTCATGGAAAAATGCTTATTTGTTATATGCACGCAAGTCAGATTGAGCGGATGATACAACGTTTCCATATGGGTGGGGTATTGGGAATAAAAAAAATTAGTTTGATGAAATGCGAGAGAGCAAGACAATAGAGTGAGGGGATGTGTGGGAGGGGTCGTATCAACCTCTTTTTTAAATAAATAATATGTCTCGATCGTTCTCTCTCTCCGCAACGTCTTTAGTTCTTCATACTATACGTACTGTACATGTACTTTTTGTTTGGAACTTATTATATCTTAGACATTTTCTCACAATTTGTTATTATTTATACGAAACATTGCACATTACGTGCTTAAAGGTAATACAAAGTTTTGGCATGGGGTCGGAAGCATATGCGATCCTACAATATTCACTGATCGTTGTCGCGGTCGAAATCGACCCTAAAGTTATGAAATTGTAAATAATAAACACTTTATGTTGTATAGCTCCCTTTCAAGGTCAAGATATTATTAAATTAAGCTATAAAACAATGTTTCTTGACTAAAATCGACCGATAAGCTATTCCCGTTCGAAAATTATATACCACAACTACATATTCTGAGATTGTCATGGTCGCAGCTACCATTGTACGGCCGTAGGAGCTATTTGAAATTTATCAAAATTTACCGGGAGCACCGGTAAATCTTTATATTCAATTTTCTCGAAAGCAGAAGTGTTTTGGGGGCAAAAAATTCTAGCGTTTTTAACACATCCACAGGGGCATCCAAATATATCAACATTGTAAAGAATCATTATCCACCCATTTTTCAAAATGTCCCAAAACTTTGTAATACCTTTAATAGAATTGTTTCCCATTAGTTTATATTATTACTCCCCATTAATACATTTACATTATTTTTCTCTCACTCCCCCCCCCCCCAATTCAGATCTTGGAATGGATCAATACCCCTATATATGTTTGTAACTTACCCATGAATAACAATTTATGATTACCGCGCTTCTTTGTGTGACCCCGGCTTTGCATGATTGTGACCTTCATCAAATGGGCCGTAGATGACATAGACGGTTTAATTATATCACTTAACAGCAGCCCTAATTTGTAAAAAGTATTAGGAAAAATCGATGATTTACCGGTATACGTGGAAAAAAATATGGTAAGATACCTAGAATTTATCTCTCTCTCTCTCTCTCTCTCTCTCTCTCTCTCTCTCCCCCCCCCCCTCAATCTCTCCCCCTCTCTCTCTCTCTCTCTTTCGACACATTTAGCTTTCGTTCGTTTTTTTTGATCGGACTATATTATGTATGTACATGTCCCTCCCGAGTCGATAAATTAAGAGAAAATACGCTACCTTCAACCTCTCTCCCTCTCCCTCCCTCTTCCTCTCTATCTCTCTCTCTCCCTCTCTTTCCCTCTCCCCCCTTACCCTCTCTCTCTCCCTCTCTCCTTCCTCTGAAATAATATAGCTTTCGATCGCTATTTGATTTGAATAGCACGGTGCTTAAAAAAATGGACGAGATTTTAGAATTATTCATTGACCTGAATCGATTAATTAAGATATTGCGCTTAGAATAACCTTGTTTTCTCTTCTGATAAATCCCTGTGCTTGTTCTTCCCTGCATTTATTGAGGTCAAAATGAATGGAGATTAATTATGATCAAAATTACTGGTCAAGGCATGTTTCGTTTTCACTGTTTTTGCAAATGGTTCTTATTTACAAACATCCAAACACACTTACTCTGAACTTTATTTATTAAGTTATATTTCAGTAGGGTGGTTTCATTCAAGCCCCAAAATAAATTTAATGGCCTGCTTTTCAAGGAAGCCCTACATTTTACAGGTACATAACATAACATAAAGTCCACTCCAAATCACATCACATCACATATAATACAAAACAACACGAAATGAACACAGAACTACGTAATAGTATAATAATTAAAAAATAAATGGATAATCTACACGAATAAATTTATTTATTCATTCTAGTTTTATTTAAAGGAACTATGTCCCATTTGCAGGCCAAAAAATGAAAAGGTTAAATTCCAACGGCATTTGAAAAACAATACTATTTTTAGAACTTCCCTCAATGGTTGTAAGTTATTGATTTAATTGGGAGATGACTGTTCTCCGACTTTCTTTTTGATCCAAAGGACAACACCATAGTTTTCCGAGGGTGTATATACATCTTATTTATATACACACTAAATCAGAGTCAGTGTAAATTTTCTTGAACTTCAGAAAAATTATTTTAAATGACAGTATCGTCAGCATAAAGTGATATCTTGGAATTATAATGACACTTTAAATTATCAATATCATTAATATACAAACAAAAAATCAAGGGACACGGAATTGACCTTTGTTTCACCCCAGATTTAACAGTTAAATACTCACTACGATGATTATCTATAGTAACACACTGTCGTCTACCCATTTAGTAAGATTTATACCATGTATACACCTAGTTACTTATGCCATAGAAAATTAGTTTATCAAGAATTATTTTATGTGGAATAACGTCAAACGCTTTCCTAAGATCGTAAAATATTGTTCCAGTAATCTAACAGAATTCATATTATCAAGAAGGTAATCAGTAATTTCTTTGAGACATGTGGTTGTGGAAAGAAGTGGTCTTAATCCAGACTGACATTCGGATAATAAATTATTTTGGTTCAGATAAGAATACAATTGTTTATGTTCGGCTTTCTCTAAAGGTTTTGACAAAGAGGGCAGTATTGAAATGGGCCTGCAAAGAGATTCGATCATACACCTGGAATTATCAACAATAAACGTACCTCCCTTGTGTTTCGGATTGATTTTTGCAACCTTGAGATCACATGGAAATCGTAAAGTCTTATTGATTAAATAATATAAGGAGTGGTTTTTGCAATGATATCTACAGTTAATTTGAGTAACTTGG